AGACAATCAAATCTCTTCGATCTCGTATTATGGAATTAGTTTGAGAAATATATGAAGACCCGCCACGTGGTTGCTCCAATTTTTGCAAGACGCCCGAGGAAACTGTTATTTATTAACGCGCGGAAATAAACGCGCAATTCATTCACGCTAATGGCATCTAGTACATTCATAACTTATCGGCAAAATCCGCTTCACACCGCCGCGCAATGAGCAACAGTTTAATATTAGGCGCTGAGCTGCATGTTCGTGCATTCTGTTACGTAATTGGTGAGAAGAGCGAAATTTTTACGCGAATTATTATGGTCGGTTTAATCGCGGGAACGCAAAAATTTCGCAATTACGCAACTACAATCAATAGATCGTGTTAAATTGCTTTTTAAATGCCATAAGATGGAAATGAACACTTCACGACTCTGATATTGCTCGGATTTATTTCTCTGTAAAACCAACGTAGCATAATGTCATAAATCAACGGTGAGAAATCTTAATCGAGTTTTTCTTAAAATTTTATTTGCCATTAGCGCGAAATTCTCAATCTTCACTCCTAGCTGCACCTATATTTACACTTAAAAAGTTCATACATTAGACGGTGTTGTAATACGGACATTGCTAAAGGCTACGGTATGAATAATCCAGCTACATGATAACTTTAGTGTGAAAATATTTTACTAATGTACGATATAAATTACAGAAATAGCACACAATATATAAGTTTAGCTATAATTAATGTTTCTTATCTAAACTATAAATACGGATTTTTACTTTCGTGCCAATAAATATTTTTGATTCACTAAACTTACGTCACTTGTGAGCTAACATTAAATGACGAATGTCTTGCGAGAGCGTGTGTTACTAGGGCAGATATAATTATAAAATTATGCATAACTAACATTTAATAAATATTACATAACGAGAAAAGTGCGTAATTGAGATCTCAATTGCATCTACATATATATTCGTACAGAGCCTCGACTTGCGCGATGGCGATACATCTTCATTTCGATCATTGATCGTGGCAGAATAAGGTCTCGGTAGTGAGTCTCCCGCGTGAAAATGTCATAAACGTCGTGGACATTTCTAATGGCACTCTTCGGTTACACATCGCAAATATAATGTTATAACTGTTTGCTTTTATGGCACTTTACGGAATACCGCGAAAGAATTCTTCTCACAATCACTTAAAAACAATTTTTTTTACGACAAGAATCGAGAGCAGCGGTCACCTTTCAATAAAGCCAGCGATTACTTCTTGAGGCCCTGCGATTCATGGGAATTATGCCTCGTGGTAATTTCACGTTATCGCTAATGTGACGGTACACTGTGATTAGCGTGTTATCGCTATAGTCCGTCCTCTTCTAACTTTTTAAATACCGCTACTGGACCTGTTCTCCTATCATCATCCATGGGGGATACACTTATGATTTTATCGATGAAACGAGAAATCCCCTTTCATTCTAATCTTAAGAGACAATTTCAGACAATTTGGAAAACGTAAATTTGCTGACATTCTTATCCTTTTGAGGAATTTCAAATAACTATTACTTTCAATTAAGATAAATCGCTTGTTTTTTAAATTTATAATTAAAATAAAAAGATTATTTATAAAATTAACGTATAACTGAGCGTCGTATGTGTTATAATACTTAATGCAAAACTGCTTACAGCTCTTCCTGGAAAAATTAATCTTGCATTATATAGGTATACTTTGCATTATTATTGAAAAAGGATTCTACGATCGTCCAAAAAAATCTAAAATAATAAGTAAGCGAGACATTAATGTAAATTAACATTCCGAAATATAAGTTTAAAATACATAAGTGCTTCTACTATTGTGGACGATTCTCGCAGAAACAAAAATAAAAAAATCTATTAAAAAAAGCCTTTAAATAAACAAAAAAATAAACAACAATTAATAAAATTAGATCATTATGCGAATAATAAAAGATAATTTAAGAACAAAAAGATAATTTATGAATTACTATAATTGAACGTTAATAGGCGATTAAAGTAAAATAAATCAACTGATATTAGAATAATACTAAAGTAAAACACTCAATCGTGAATCGCATAAATTAATCTTTTACTTTACCCCATCTTTTCTTTACCCTACTCTGCTTCTTACCGCACTCATCTATTATTAATTCTCAAGTTCCTCATAAAGATTCAGGAACTTCCTGCGACTTGCACGGTGAATTATGTAGTCGGGTGCCACCAGCGCCGATATTTAAAGGCGGCTATCATGGACAGATTTACGTATAATTCCAGCGTGTATAATTCCGCGCTTTTAACGAGGTAACGGTCGGACAGTGCGTCACTCTTAATCCGCCGTGTCTGGTAAACGCTTTTAATCGTGATCTTACATCGCGATCTAGCTCGCGTTGAAACGACGCTAATACTCTCTAACAAGCATTTTTGGGCTCGCTTATCATGCGTAGCTACTTTCCACAGTTGTCTTAAATTATTACGCGCTTTGATATTATCATGCGATCGCTAATTAATGAAAGGCAATGAAACGCGTGCTCCTTGAAGCTGTACTTCTCTCATATTAGATAAACTAGAATTATTTTCCTTCCTAGGAATAATCTTGCATCTTATCGAAATGAAATCACTGATAGCACGCAGAGCAACTATAACATTTTAATATACATATGTAAATCAGTAATAGCTTCTAAGAGGAACTAATATACTTTTTTCTTAATTTAATGCTGTAAGCGCCATAAGCTTTCACTTCTACATTTATACTTTATTTTACCCTACTAAACATTGCTCCAGGTGACAAATAAATTACACCATTGCGTCATTGGTATACGAGAAAATTGACTAAACCTTTCGCGGGTGGTGGAATGCACAATTTCCATTTCAAAAGATAATATCAGCCCTTCCGAATCGCATGACTGATGCATTAGATCAGAAACGATTAATAGATCGCAAGACCCGTATTATTTGGAAAATTACTCGCATCCATTTTGTCCAAGATCCGGTCCGTACTTTATAGTAACGGCATATTGTTACGGCGTAAAATACGGAAGCCTTCCGGCAAAAGTACAACTTGTCATCACAATAGTACAATGCATTTGATTTTTATTCTAATTGCGATTAGCGGACAATTATCTCGTTAGTTGCATGCCTAGCAATTTCCCGCGAGGTATGGTGCAACTAAGGATAATTGCCATATTTATAACGGTGGAACATTCTAAATATCTGCCACAAGATTGTGAGATAGTAAACTTACAGAGATTTCACAAATATCTAATAAAAGTATATGTATCTAAAATCTAATATATAAGCATATTTTTATGTATGTAAGTAATGTTTTTTATTTATTTATAAAATAATTTTGTCTTACTTAAACCATTTTTCTCCTAACATCTCGAATAAGTTAAATTGAAATTTTAGATTTTTCCTCTGTTAAAGAAACGTCTTGTTTTAGAGAATAAAGATATCATAGTATTTTCTGCGTGTGTGTGTGTGTTGTGTGTGTGTTGTGTGTGACCACCCACGACAGAAACGTAAGGCTTTCTCGGTTCTTGTCCAATGGCCAGAAACGTTTAGTTCGCATCTGGTCGATCTGACAGATGCCGAAGAGCCTTTCAAGTCGATAAATCCTACGTTTCTTTAAGACTCTTCATGATACTGGCATCGCACTAACAAATCCAAAGGGTTTATTACTAAGACTATCAGAGCATCAGGACATCTGCCTGCGGCAAATGTTGATCATGTCTTTGCATATTGCAGCATTTTAATAGTATTTTATATTATTTAATAATATAAGTATGTGGATGGAGCTATCATAAAAGATTACATCATCTGAAATTATAGACTTAATATCTTTTTTGTTTTTAAAATCACGATTACTTTTTTTTGTATGGGTATTTCCTATAAATATATATATAGACTAAATTTAAAAAATTTAAATTAAAATAAAGAAATAAACGAAGTAGCCAAATGTATCTGAACTAATATACTCCATCTTATTGTGGTAATAAAAGACAAGATTTTACTACGCTAGATTGTAAATATTTATAATTAGTCATTCTTGCTAATTCAGTTAGAATCTTTAAGGTTCAGATAAGAAAATGCTACATACTCTAAAAGTTTTTACTGTATCCTTGTAAATGTTGGAAATATCCCTTATTATTTTTAATATACAGAAATATTTTTTCTTTGAAATTCAAGTCAGTTTTCAATGTTGAACTTGGCAAAAAATTAAAAAAAAAGTCATAAAGCCATATAGGTCCAATTATTTTGAGAGTATAAGAATTTATAAATTATGATTTTTCTCCAAAAAATTATATTAACTTCTACGATATTTATAATAAAATTTATAGATGAAATTATCGTAAATAAATTATTTGTGCGTAAATTATTTATTGCAATACCAACAAAATGACTAGTAAATTGTTTCTTCTTATCGCTATCTATATCATTCTCTTAATTAGCTTTCCATAGTATGTACAAAATTACATTTTCAAAATAAAAATTCGGCGCAATTCAAAGATATTTTTTTATCGGATTTGTTTATATTAAATTTCAAATAAAGAACTAAACATTAATGATACAATTTTTACAAATGGTTAAGAGATCCAGCTCTTTGTAATACGTCAACATGATCATAAGTAACAATCAAAGAGTTTTATGCGGCGCATTGTCCATTAAAAAGTTATTATTTTAAATAAAATAAATCATGCAGATGTACGTTCTAATGTTCTAAATAAACTTTATTGAGTATGTACTTTTATTCACTAATTAGAAAAGTGTCACATACTTTTTATAAATAAATGTTCATACTTTAAAAATAAAGTTAGTAAATAATATTTTACAAGTATTAGCACATATACAGGTAACAATATGTGTTTCTCATTATATTGTGATGTTTCATATTGAAATAAAGTATAATAAAATTAAATGCTATTACTGATATATTTTTATAGAAGATATTTACCTAAGTAATAAAAAATAATATATGTATGTATATATCATAAAAAACACATTTTGTGTTATCATTCTGCTACAACACAATGTTTCCGTGCATCATCAGGTTTTTTCCATTCAACATTATTTTGTGTACCTGCAATTAAAAAAATTTATTATTTTTTAACAATAATCTGAAAAAGATACTTAATTTTATCAAATTAGGCTAGTGAATTTCTTGCCTGGTATTTCATGTTTTAAGTATGTAAGGTAAAGTAGAAGATACACTAGCGAACAAAATGCTGCAAATATTGAAAATATTTGTAGAGTCAACGCACCACCAAATTTTTTCAAGAATATACTTCCAACCAAACTACCAATAGAGCGACCTGAAAATATTGCAACATTATTATAACCTTTTTGAACCAATAATAAGCTTTAATTAAGAGAAAAAGTAAATCCATTTATATTATTCATGTTATTAGTATTATTTACATTTATTCGTTATAATTCAATTTTCAATGTAAAATTAGATAAAGAAGTTTACCGAAACCATCTTTCATTCCTGATATAATTCCTTGAATAGAAATAGATACATTGGATGACGATATTACATTTGCGTACGCTACTGATGTTACGTGGCAAAGTATATATGATGGTCCTATTGTTAAAAATTCTATTGGAACTATCCACCATGGTGTTGGTACTACAGATATTAATCCCAGCCGTAGGGAATAAAATACGAGAAAAAGAGTAAAAGTATAACCATATCCTAATTTTTCCAATATCTTACCTAAAAAGAAGAAATGGTAATTATATGGATTAAGAGACATCACGTAGATAATTTTGACCTTGACACATGTCATCAAGATCATTACCTTTAGTGCTTTTTAAAAGATGGAGGTCACTAATCGTTAAAAAGTTATTAATATAAAAAGTTTAAAAAATAACGTTTCATTTATGCTACATAAAATAATAAATCAATTCTTTCCCTGCTTACTGGGGAGTGGACCTCGCTTCTTATAGAAAGTCGTACGCATCTAAGCAAGGAGGAGTGTGGGGTGGACCACGCTTTGCGTGAAAAATCAAATCTCCTCTTTAGAGATACACTTCACCTCCCTAGGCAAGAGAGGGTGAAACTCTGAATGTTACTCAAGCCATGATCATGACAACATATCAAAGTCAAGGTCATCGGAGTTTATTTAAAAAAAGGTAAAAAAAAGTGAAGATTTATTATTATTATAACATTAAAAATTTTTTTTAATATTATAGAAGCTATAAGAGACCGCTACCTAGTTGTTGAGGCAAAATTACTAGGATCATGACAACATATATCAAGGTCAAAGTCATCGGCGCGATGTCCCTTAATCCGAATAATTGCCGAAAAAATTCAATATTTTTAACTATCTAGTCGCCCCATTTATAACAAATCATAATAAAGTAGTATTTAATACAGTACCGGATAAATGCATGAATATCGCACAACTGAAAGCTTCTGTGGCTATTGTTATACCTTCTATTAATTTAATTTTGTCCATGTAACCGGTTTTTATAGCAAGATCTTCTTCATACCTAAGAAAATTTATTAATTGAACATTATAAAACTTAAAAACTATAAAAACTATAAAAATACATAAAAAATGTAAAACAATAAGACAGTAAGATGTAAGCTGTAAACGAATCAATCATTCAAAACAGAAAACGTAAAACAATAATGTAAGACCATAATGTAACAAATTCAAAATATTGATTTGCTTATTACTCACATCTTATTGCTTAAGTTTTTTGTGTCCATAGTTTTAGTCCGCTACGTCCAAATTTCAAATAACAATTTCAAAAAACAAAAATATCCCGATAATGGCATAAATTTACCAAAACATAAAGGAAAGCATGTAACCATCAAAGGCGCCGCAAATGGTATCAAAAAACAAAAATATAACAGTAGATTTGAATTTTAAAAGCGTACATACATCTGTAAATATATGTGACGATCTTGATATAATTGGCAACTGTAATAAAAATATACAAAAGTATAAAAATTTAACTACGTATTTCTAACCCTAATTTTCTCTTTTATTCATTTTTCTTAATGCATCATAAAATTACCTTCAGTTTTTTGCAGCAAATCAAATCTATACAAGTGAATATAAACACAAGAAGAAACGCTGATGTATAAGTTTTGTAAATCTTTCCTTGAGACCATACATCGATTGTATATCCAGTTAAAAATCCTGCCAAACCGAGACCGATGTCACCCCATACATGCTGCCTACCATATTTCATTTCCTCACCTTTACCTAAGAAGAAGATAAACAAATTTATTGTAGAATCCACGCTCACACATGCACACACACGCGCATACACACGCGCGCGCAACACACACACACAGTGCATGCACACGCACATACAAGTATGCGCACATTCGTCACGCATTTTTTTTTTTTCTATACAATTTGTTAGTTATGTATGAAAAAATATATAAAAACATTTACACAGCAGGAATTTAATTTACCCGTTTTATATTTATATTAATAGATAGATGTAAAAGAGATAATAATTATAAAATTATTTACCTAATATCTCGAAACAGATTGCGCTGGTCAAAGTGAAAGAAACAGAAGTACCTGTACTCCCAAGAGCCATTAAAAGGACGAATCCCCAGAACGTAATGGATGTATACAAATAATGATTATTTTCAAAATTATCACAGATAACATTGCAATTATAATTATCTTTGAATTCTTTTTGACACAATAATGTATCATTAATATTTATTAAACAGCTAGTATTTGGTGAAATAACTACTTCCTTTCCAGCTGCATACTGGAAAGATAATGGTACGGAAAGATTTGTATCCTTGCATATCCAGTGACACGTAATGTTTCTCGTATTCTCACATAATGCTGTTGGGAAATTCTTAAACAAATATAATAAATAAGATCTCTTTTATATAAACAGATGAAAAGATGTTTATTACAATTAGCGATAATTACTAATAATTATTATTATAATTGTTATATATTAATTATTAAAAAATTAATATTCAAACTAATAAATTATTAAAGAAAAATATATTTTTAAAATATATTATCAAAATTACAATCTCATAAAAGAAGTTGTTTGTAAAGTAAATATGTGGATAACTTAGCACAGGTTAAAGTTATTTGAAAAGTAAGTATGTAGATAGAATAATATAGCACAGAAATTTTATTGTTTATAATTTACCAAAGAAATACGCAATAATAAAAAAATAACTTACAGAATCTATGCCACAAAATGGTAAATATGCACATGAAACGTTTTGAAACTGATGATCCAATACAATTGGTCCCGGTGATGAGGGTAAAAAATATATTAAAATATAGCAACTGCTTGAAATGGTGATTAAAGCCATAAAGATCAATTTTTTCTGGGTTTGAAAATAATCCATGATAAAACCAAAAATTGGTTTAGCAATCATAAATAAAATAGGTAAAATAGCACCGATGCTACCCATTATTAATGGTGAAATACCAAGCTGTTTACCGTATACTGATAGAAATGGAAAAATAGCGCCCGTAGCTGAAATAAGAATAATTGAATTATTATTACATTTATGTATGCAATAACATAATTTATGAAATTGGAAATAATTTATTTTTAATATTTTTTATTTATCACAATATGTATATTATTCTTATTAAATATGATTTATATATGTGTTTTATATATATAGTAAAAAGTTTATAATATTATATAATTCTTTTATAAAGTAAATTATAATAAAGGTTATAATATTTTTCAAAAACTGCGTAATAATGACGCGATCTAATAATTTTAATAATCTTGACATATATTATCAAAGTCGTCGCGCTGAGTAACAATCAAAAAGTTTTAGCTGTCGCTCATTGTTCATTAAAAATTATTAACAGAAAGTGTTGACAATATAAAGATGTGTTTAACTTAACAATTTAAAGGTTAACCTTTCCCTTTACATAGTTAGTCCCAAATGATCTCCGAGTGACCTTGACCTTGAGCGATGGAAAAGATCAATGACCTTAAGACTTATAAACCTTACTTTCTTTAAGAGTCAAGGTCGAGGTCAACGTTCATATGCGAATTATTGCATATGAACAAAAAAACATAAACTTAAATCTTAAATTATAAAGTTGAAAGACAAAAATGTAAGACAAACACAATATAATTACTATTCAATATATTTAAAAGTTATTAATTTTAATTGTTAATAATCTTTTACTACACAATGAAGAATGGTTAAAATATTTCATACTTAGGGGAATGGTTTTAAGAAAGTATGTCATGGTCACTGAAATCGATGAAATCTTCACTATATCTAGTTTCACTGTATTTTTTTAAGTAATTATGTATTATATGTTTTGTTATATCAAGACATAAGTTTTAAAATCTAGAGAAATATATTTACACAATAAAATGCGATATAAAATATTTGTATTACATTTTATTATACAGTCTATATGTATCATAATATATCCTTGATACGTAAAATACATAAAATGTTTAAATATTTTATATATAATAATATAATATATTTCACAATTTGCTTACCTCCCCAGAAAAAGAAATAATGTGCTTTTAATGGCAGTAACGTGTAATTGATTTTCATGATTTATATTTTATGTAACAAATAATATACTCCAATTTTTTTGAGCTTTTTTCCAAAATAATATTAGGCACGTTTAGACAATTTGAGAGACACACTGAAAGCGCTGTTCAGTGCTATTACAGCTATTATTTTTATCGTTTATTAAGTGAAAAAAAATATAATCAAGCGCTGATACCTCTTTGTGCGTCGTGCCTATTATAATAATTATTAATAATTATCAACAATCGTATGTAAGATTAAAAGTGTATAAACATATCAATAAACGTAAATATGTAAAACTTGTACAGGTATAATATTTTATAAATACTGGAAATTTTTTAAAATATAATCGTTTCTTTACAAAAATGACATAACACAAAAATGTGATTTTTTTTAATTATTACCATGAACCGTAAATGAATTAGGTAAAAATTATTTTATTAATCATCAAAGTAAACTGACTTAATTTCACAATTCATCCGGCAAATACTGCCTATATCTTACTTAAAATTTTTAAAGATCATAGTATTTTCTACGAGAGTGACAGATTTTTAGTCGTGTCGTTTATGTAAATAAAAAATCTTATAAGTAAAAATAGAACCTTTTACAGGGAACATTTAGAATTAAGACAGTTTTGATGATAGACGTTTGAAGAAAAAATTGTTTTATTTTGAATTTAGCTATTTAGTTAACCAAGATAAATATAAACTAATAGTTAATGATAATTCAAGTTATCTCACTTTTGAAGAAATATTTCGGATTTATTTTTATGGGATATCACAAAATTATCACAACCCAAAAAGGACAGTGTTCTTATAAGTTATAAAGCGGACAATATGATATTCGATCATGCCTACAAGAGTACATTATTTTTGAAATTATTTGATTAGTTAATAATTTTCTGATAAATTAAAAAATGATTTTTTCTTTTTTTGTAAAACTTGATGTTTGAGATTTAACATTGATTTTTTAAGTTATATCACTTTTGAACTTTTAAAATAAGGCAACGATATATCTCCGCGGTATACGAAGAGATATGAAAAGAATAATAAGTACAAGTGTAATTAAATAAATAAATAAATATTTTGCGATTAAGAGCATTAATTCATTATAAATATTTTAATATTTACATGAAAACTTTTGAATTTATGTATCTATACACTGATGCTATAAAATGTAACTATGTCGACCAATATAACAGAATAAACACAACTGTGACAAATATTGACGATAAACCCTGCATGAAATATAGTTTCTAAAAATACTCTTCCAGTTCAATTATCAATCGCAATTATAACCGCAAGTTTAAAACGTCTACCATAAACATTATCTAAAGTGATATACATTTGAGTAAAAGCATTATGCAAAAATAATATATGCTAAACGCAGTGGCAGTTATAATAGTTTCACACATAAGTCTGCATTGTCTACAAATTAACCCTCCACCGACAATGTAAAATATTCAATCGTAGTTTGCAACCTGAGTCGAAGTTTACAGCAGATTTTTTATTTTTTCCGGACTATATAAAAATTTAGAAAAATTCTTGTATCCTTGTAAAATTTTTAACAAATTTTTATCATAATAAAAGCCGGATGTATTATATTTATTATTTACAAATTTAAATGTAAATAAAAGCTTCGAAAAAATGTGACATTAAAAATTTATAAGTTTTATACGAATAAATAAATTAAAAAATTCTTTTATAGATCACAACTTGAGCCGAGTCCAGCATGCAGGAGCCATAACTATAAATCTTAACTTTTTCCTGTATTTATACATGGCATAAGAATATAAAGTATACCATTGCGCATAATGCGTGACGGCAGATTAAATAAAACAATTAATCAAATGCTTATCCCAAAGTTAATGGAATGGACATGGTAGCAATCATGGTATAAGAATATAAGATATTCCATTTTTACAAGGATGCGCAGTTATTTGGGGGGAACATGACGACTACTCTTTCACCAATCAAAGCGTTGCTCCAAATTGTAAAAAGGAATATAATTGCTAAAATATATATTCTACTAACTTTAGGGAAAGCATTTAATTAGTTGTTCTAATTTAGAACAACTAATTAATGGCTGAGCGCAATGAGATTCTGTATTCTTATATCATGGTAGCAATCATGTTTCTTTTTTGACAATTTATTTGGGGCAACATTTTAAGTGGAAAGAGCAGCCACCATGTTCAAGATAACTACGCATCCTCGGGAATGCTTTATAATATTATAATATTTATATAGCTAAATATAAAAATTGATCTATTAGAATTTCTTTCTGAAATTGCAAAGTTGGAAAAGAAAAAATACAAACTTGCAACTGTTTGCATTTTTATAATACAATTAGTAATACATAGTTATATTTTGAAGTATATTAAAATAATATGATCACGCACAACCATCTTTTCTAAGCTTTGGATTGCTATAAGGCCAAACCGCCATATATGTGTAATATTTTGTTAACCCACAATTGCGATTAGTCACATTGTTGTCACGTTTTGTATTATAAAATAATACATAGAAAACATCTTTATTATTATATTATATATTGTAATATAATATATTATATAATATAATTTACTTTTTAAATTTTTAAAGTATATATTTGCACGTTTTTCAAATATATCTTCGAGTCAATTATTATTTAAAAAATGATGTTCTTAGAATATTTTATTTTCTTCAAGTTAAATTCAGAGCATATTCGCATATAAAATTGTCAAATGCGAGTGTTATGAAAATGAGAAATAATAGCAAATAAAAGAAATAAATTATAAAATTATGTTGTTAAACATAAATATTGATATAATTAAACAATTTTATACGTAAACATATAATATTCATTTTTATACGTAAATTATAAATATTAACACATTTCCAATACCAACGTTATGTGTACTATACTCTTTCGAATTTATACTATTAAAACATTTAAAATTATTGGAAATATATTATTAAATAACATTTTAATGACATTTATTAAAAATATACAAAAACGTTAATAAAATTCATATAGAATTAATATTTCAAAATGCTGATTTAATGTTTTGGCTAAAAAAATATTCATGAAATATATTGTATAATGAAAAACGTTCTATGATATCATTCTGCTACAACAAACCGTTTTCGTGCATCATCAGACTTTTTCCACTCAACATTATTTCGTGTTCCTACATTAAAAATAAAATGTGTTATTTTTTTAATAATATCTAGAAAAAGATTAATTGATTTTGTTAGATTAACATTAAATCATTCGAGTTCTTGCCTGGTAACTTATGCTTCAAATACGTAATATAAAGTGCAAAATATACTAGCGCACAAAATGCTGCAAATATCGAAAATATTTGCAGAGTTAATGCACCACCAAATTTTTTTAGGAGCATACTTCCCACCAAATTACCGATAGCAAAACCTAAAAATATTTTATACTTTATATTAATAAGAAATTTTAAATAAGAAGGGAAAGTATACATATATACGTTTATATTGTTCATTTTCTTTGTAATAATTCAATTGTAAATGTAAAATATTTGAAGAAGTTTACCAAAACCCTCTTTCAATCCTGACATAATGCCTTGAACAGAAACGGATACACTAGATGATGATATTACATCTGCGAAAGCTATTGTTGTTACATAGGAAAGTGTATACGATAATCCTAGTAATAAAAATTCTATTAGAACAATCCACCATGGTGTTGGTACTATAGATATTAATCCCAGCCGTAAAACGTAAAATACGAGAGAGAGATTAAAGGTGTAACCATATCCAAATTTATTTAATATTCTACCTGACAAGAAAATAAGGCAATGTTTTAATTTATTGAATCGCCTCATTTATGTAAAATCTCATAATAAAATATAATTTAATGATACCAGATAAAGGTAAAAATATTACACAACCGAAAGCTTCTGCGGCTACAGTTAAACCTTCTATTAATTTAATTTTGTCCATGTAACCAGTCTTTATAGCTAAATCTTCTTCATACCTAGTAAAATATAAAACTTAACTAAACATTATAAAAATTAAATTTGCTTAAAATTTTACGTTTTAATTTTTATATTCTGATTTCATATATAACGTACAAATACCTTTAAAAAAGTATAAACTTACCACAACAAAAAAAAGATTATATAACCATCAATGGCTCCGACAATGACAGCAAAACAGAAAAATATAATAATAGATTTGTATTTTGAAAGCGCATAGATATTTGCACATATATTCGCCGATCTTGATATACGTGGCAGCTGTAATAAAAATATAAAGTGTATGGTTAATTTATTTATTTTTTACTTGTTATTTTTTAAATTTATTATGCAATTACCTTCAGATTTTTACAGCATAACAAATCAATACTGATAAATATAAATGCAAAAAGAAATGCTGGTGTATAAGTTTTATAGATTTTACCTTGGGACCATATATCTATAATATATCCAACTAAAAATCCTACTAAACCATAACTAATTTCACCCCATATACGCTGTTTACCATATTTCATTTGCTCACCTTTACCTGTAAAGATTAATTAATTAATTATAATACATAATCCCATACGCACACGCGCGCATACATTTCTTTTTTATATAACACGGTATTTGTGTACAAAAAAGTATTAAAAATATTTATACATATTATAGATTTATTGTAAAACGCAAGTATATCGATGTACATTTCTTTAATGCAACATATTATTTATAATATTAAATTAACTTAGGCCATTATATATAAATAAATTAAATAAATAAGAAAAGGACTAATACGATCGAATCTAGATTGATGCCTAATCATATTTTTACATGTAAATTCTAAGTACATACATCTATCAGTTATATACAATCATCGAAAACATACAATCACGAACTGAAGCTGAAATGATAATATCACAATTGATTGTCTATTTGCTACTTATATAGTATTTTAAAATATTGTAATATAATAAGTTATTGCAGAAATAACCATGCAAATATCTCGAAAAATATAGAAAATATAGAAAAATCAAACAACAGTTGCATGGTTTAGAAGGAACCATATTTCGGTCATATTATCTTTCTTCTAGGTGGAGGAGTCAAAAAGATATGAAGATCATCTCTACTTTTTTAAATAGAGTTGTATAATTTTTTTTACATATATATATACAATATGATTTTTCTGATTATTCTGCATATAAAAGTATTAAAGCAGTGGTATCAAAAAACCAATAATTTACATCGCTTACGAAATATTTTATACTTTATTCCGGCGATTCCGGCACATATGACATAAAATATTAAATAACTCGTAAACTATTAATTTTTTTTATAATCGTACCTTAATACTTTTATGAATAGAAAGAATAATGACCTAAATCAATTGGTTGAAAGAAAACATAATTGCTTATTTAAAAAATTATCCATTTTACTTAAATATTTTTTTAAAGCAATTATGTGTTTTCTTTAACACCAATTAATTCATCTTATTATTATTCAACATTTTATGTCAATATGTGCCGGAATAAAGTATAAAATATCTCGTAAATTATTGGTTCTTTGACTACCTTAATATTTTTATATACAGAATAATTAAAGAAATCATATTGTGTAAAAAAATTACATAATTCCTTTTAAAATAGTAAAGGTTACCTTCATATTTTTTTGATACCACCACTTAGAAGAAAGAAAACATGACCAAAATGTGGCTCCCTCTAAACCATGCAACTTTTGTCTGAAATATTTTTTTATATCTTCCATATTTTTTGAGATACTTGTCTATAGGGAAATTCAAATGGAACATCCCTTATACTGATTGTTGCGACAAAAAGTATCATGTGTCTCAATCAAATTGAAAATAAGACACCCGAATAGTTGAAAGGTTTCCAGTTTGAATTCTGGGGCTGAGGTAATATTTTTGACAAAATACTGATTGTTGCGACAAAAAGTATCATGTGTCTCAATCAAATTGAAAATAAGACACTCGAATAGTTGAAAGGTTTCCAGTTTGAATTCTGGGGCTGAGGTAATATTTTTGACAATGCTTTTTTACAGTGTTTTAAGATGCCAGTAGAATCATTATCAAATTATATTAATCCGTTAAATATGATATATATATATATATATATATATATATATATATA